CATTTCTTCAACAGTCTGTTCCCAGATATGTGCCTACATAGCTGTTTCATCAACCTCTTTTCTATTCTTACTTTGAGTTGCAACTGTTCCTTTACCTCCTCTTGCCTCCTTCTTACTGTTTTCTGGGTCACGAAACACGAAAATATCGCAAAGAATTTCGCTTTGATGAAATTCCGAAAGCTTGTTATGGAAACCGTGTAGATGAATACATTTGCAATGTTGTTCAAGTATGGAATACATTTACAAAACATTTTCGTTTTAACGTAGCTATGTTTACCATCATAAATCACCTTCAGGACATAATATCCAAAAAGGGGCAACATGCTGGTGCAATACACAACTGCTATCAAGATTACAGTTAAGATTCCCTGAAGATTAGCTGATCTCCCTTGTCGGTGGCTCAACCTTACAGCGATCACTATCAGCCATGTGCCAGAAATCACTACTATGACAGTGCAGAGTAGTGTTACACTGAATACTACGATTGCTGATTTAATAAACAATTCCATAATAATTATCAGGTCGCAACTTAACTGCTGATGAGAGTATTTAACGCTTATTTTATCTTTTTGCAGAAAAATAGGTAATAAAAGGGCTAATGAGGCAGCCCACATGCAGCTTGCTAGAATGTGTCCTTGTCGATAAGTCCATCTTGCACCTCTGAAAGGAAACAGGATAGACGCTAGTTTGGAACAATTTATAGTTGCAGTCAAAAGAGCAGTAGAACAGCTCAGAAACCATCTGGAATATGCTTGTAAAGCACAGAAGTTTTCTCCTAACAACCAACGGTCCGTGATGGCAGCAAAGCAAGTGGGGAAGAGAATAACGAGTGTAGTCAAGAGGTCGAGAACTGCAACGTGTTGAATCAGCGCAGTTGTTATCTTGCCCACCCTAATTACTCTCTGTTTAGTAGCTATTAAGATGACAGTATTTCCAGTCAGTCCAATCAGTGTACCAAGAAGGAGAATTGTTGAGAAGAGTGAACGGGCCAAAACAGGGTTTACATTGTCAAGAACCCACCCGTCTTCAAACAGACTGTCATCTTTGGAAGGGGCCCATATTTCTCCCATATTGCTAAGGATAGAGAACTACGGAATAAGTGTTAACAACTTCTTTGAATAATGATCTCCAATTATTTAAAAAACAGTACGAGATAGCTTGTGACTTCTCTCCTTGACAAAAATCTGCTTGATAGAACAAGAAAATTTCTAATTTTTCTTGAACAGTAGATAGTATAACTTTAACATGTGGGTTGAAAGAAATACCAAACGCTATAAAACACCCTACCGTCATACCAATACCAAGACCGGAGACTAAAATCGGAGCAAATACTTATAAGCGCACTTTGAAATATTAAAGAATTAAGTTGCTTCATTATACTTCTAAACGTTGACCACATGCGCGGAATTTGAAGCGGAATTACTGCCATAATTGCTCTATTTCGCATTCCTCTCTAGGCCACGAATTACGAAACAGAGAATTCTTACGTCTGAGTTTTTGACTTGTAAGCCAAGACTCCTGTGTAAAATTTGGCTTAGATTCTGACTCACTGGCTCAAAAGTTGGGCTCACCGAAACTAAATATTAACTAAGTATTGGCGTAGCGGATCTAATTTTCCACACTTTCGATTTTTCACTCTTTCGCCGTAGCCCAGGAAAATTAGGAAAATTAGGAAAACCAGGAAAATAGATCTCAACTAGGAAAACCAGGAAAAACAACCAGGAATCTGGACCATGATTAGAGTATTTGTTTAAAAAAGTCCAAAAGAGCGCGAATAGCAATTTTCGAGCTTCAAAATAAAAAGATGTTGCCTGTGGCGCACCAGAATTATTTTCATTTAATCTAGTTCGACATGCACTCTAATTCGACAAACCCTAAAGTTCGACTCTGTCGGACTTCAGTACACAACCTGAAATCTAGTTCGGCATGTACTGAAATTCGACACGATAACTTCGACTGTCGAACTACGGTACACTACCCGCTGCACTCTCATTGGACACGAATTTATCAAAACCAATCAAAACACAGCATCGATGGTTGGTATTTTATAGCATTGATATACCGTGATTATACCATTCAAAACTATCCGTTTGTCAGACTATCTCGAGTGTTCCACTTGTATGGTATAAAGATAAAGATAATCCGCTAAATCCAGCAGCGAACAAATTGGTGAACAATAGCCATGAACTCGTGTTCAATGAATCTAATTGCGCTCTTTTCAACCGAACAAATGCTACCTTCTCCGACTTAGTTTGATAGGATTTTCGTGGATAAGTCGTGAAATAATTTGAATGACACTTTACAGCAAACGTTGGGCCTTTCATGATCACTTATCAACATGCACAGCTGCTACAAGTTAACGTAAAAACATTAACAGAGTTAAAATTATGTAAGAGGGTGTTCACCCCTGGACGCGAGAAGGTATTCAGGATCAGCCATCAGGTATTCAGGTTCAGGTATTCAGGATCAGGTATTCAGGATCAGGTATTCAGGATCAGGTATTCAGGATCAGGTATTCAGGATCAGGTATTCACACGCATTTTGAATATTTTGCAACACTCGCCACTGTTTGTATGTGTAATCGACACGACAATCGCACACGTAATATGTTCTAGTGTGCATCCTGTAGAAAATCAGACCTCACTCCTCATTAATACCACGTGATCTGTTCATGACGTGACACGTTGGATCACAAGCAGAAAATGGAGGGAAAATATTTGTCGGACTAGAATACGCTACCTGGACTCTAGTTCGACACGTACCGAAGTTCGACAGGGTTTATCTCTGGTGAACTTTAGTCGTCGAACTAAAGTATATTATGTCGAACTGGAGTACGCCAATCTTGGATTCAGTACGCTATAGATTTTAATCGATCTATTAATATGCACTGCATACATTAGGAATTTCCATTATTATCATCGCGTGTGTTTTAATATCCTAATTGATAAAAGAAGACTCAATCTTGAAAAACAAACAACAGCTATTATTTTAAAATAACATTATGGAATTACAATCTGCTACATCTAAATAATTTAGTAAAATTTCCATATTATTAAAATAAAATCAAGAAAGAGTATCTGGTCGACTAAATTGGGTTGGTCTACGACTGGATACTGTTCTAGCTAACGTCCCATTCCCTCTACAGAATATCTTAGTGTCAACAAAACGTTTAAAACTTGCTATAGAAAGATAGTAAATGATAGGGTTGGCCACGAAATTCAGATTTAAAATGTAAACTACAAACCGGTATATCTGAGGAAAATAAAGAATTTTCCGCACATCAATTCCAGTGGCCATCACGGCAAAGAATGCCGAGTATGGAATGTTTGAAATAAAGAAATTGACAGATACTAAGATTATTGTCACAACCCCTTGCATCTGTAGTCCGGTCGTACTCTTCTTCGCAGCATACACCAGCAGCCATACCGAAGTTACCAGAATCACGAGAAACGGTCCAAACAGGATGAGAAGAGCAAAATAAATTACAATCCAATCGCACTTAGCTCTATAACTACTGTTACACTGAAATGTAGCATAATCAAAGGACTGCGGAGGACTACACAACCAGTAGGGCACCAGTTGAGCCACCAGCACACTTGCCACCCACACCACCACCGCCACAATCCAGCCGGTTTTCTTGGAACGGGCCCGGGTCCTCAGGGGATACAACAGGTTGGTTAGCTTGCTGATGTTCATTGCACATAGAAGGTAGATGTCCGCGCAGAGGAACACTTCGTCCGCCAGGTTGAAGAAGGAGCTGATGATATCTGCAAATATCTGGCGTTCTGCCACGATGTAGACGGTGGAGGGGATGATGCAGGTGAAGGTGAAACCAAGATCAGCTAGAGCTGTGTTAGTGATCAGTATCACGGACACGGCGTCTAGTTTTATAGAGCTGTACTTGAGGGTGGCGAGCAGGACGGTGATGTTTCCTACTGTTGAGATAAGGGCAGAGCAGAGGTTCCAGCTTGCTAGTAGCCACTTCTCTGGGGAGGTTATCGGGGTTGGGTCCATGTTGTAGGAAATACTTGGTGCTGAGTTGGTTTGTTGAAACAATACAAACTTTGAGAAGTTAGACGAATTAGCTGAAAGGGATGAGTTTGCTGTGGTGGGAAACTAGGGGGAAATTGTTAGGCTGTTCCAGTAATCTTCGTAGTCATGAAAATCAACACCTGTTGAAAGAAAGACTGGTTAAATTAGGAGAGGTTAATTTCCTTTTTTGTTATGAAAGTTTAAAATGAGGAGTCCAAAGTATAAGGGTTGAAAAAACGCTCGACATCCTTCGCAATAAACGCAGACGAAAGTTTCAAGAAGTGTTGAAATTTAAATGGCTTCAAAAACGACGACAAGCTCACTTTATATAAACTTCCCGACTGGACTAAATACCACAGCAAATTTGACGGATGTTGTCCGCTCTGCATGAACCATCCCTTTGGTCGACATCACCCTGACTCTGACCTAGGCTCCATTCAGGCGGATTGTAATGACCTACAATCACCTGAATCTTGATATCCTGACAAAAGCGGCCGTTGGTTGGTCTCCATACTCACATACCACACATTTCATACCCTAAACCTATTATATAAGTCACAACACATGGTGCTGCATAACCGCAGATCTAAGTAAAACTACAGGTAAATATAAGTACAGATACTGTGATAGTGACGTGTGGGATAGTTCACGTCAAAGCATGTAATTGCAGATCAGTTCCAGCTGGTAGGTCCAGCTGACAGGTGATCAATAATTGTGGGATTTAGTCCCCGTCCCACCACACCAAGTGACTTTAGGGTGGTAATCAGGGTGGGATGAAGTAGCCAAAGCAAACGCTAAAAGTAGTCATGTGACGACGTAAGCTGTGAGAAATTGGCTTACGAAATTTAAATCTAATGAATGAATAATGAGGAACAATTTAGAGTCACAGATATGCTATGTTACTACTTGTTATAGCTCTAAAATGCACGAAAGATGTAGAATATGCTCTGATATCCACATATTTTCAGTATATGTTAGAGATGCTGGATAATCTACTACAAAACAAGGCGATAAGGCTGGAGAAGTTTCTACACGATATCATTCCATCAGTTATCAGCTGTATGGTTTGCACCCAAATATGTGGTAAGTCAAATGGTTTGTCGATGGTCATAATGCATATATTATGATATGTACATTTTTTCGGGCGATAGTTTGCTGGATTTCTATTATAACTAGTGGTTAAGATAAGATAATTTTGGATACATCAGCAAGAGTGCGAACTAGACAAAATCTCGTAAAGACATTAAGATTTGAGCGCAGTTTGTGTTAACTTTTTAAAAATTAATAGGAAGAAAAAAAAATCGTAAGAAGACGTGCTTTTGCACACTTTGCCCTACTTTTGCAGGCTTCATTAAAAACTAATTGTAAAGATCCAGGTTTTCAGTTTCAATTCCGATGATTATCAGATTTAGGGATCGTGGAGGTGCTTTTACTTAATTTCATAGCTGGAAAGTTAATTATAAGTTCTTTTCAATAACGTGTGTTCGAAAACACTGAAATAAATGAGGAACATCAAATATTCACGAAAACTCTCAATATGTAGTTTCAAAATGAAAAGCGCACAAGTAAGGTTATATTCCTGTTAAAAACAATTAACCTCAGCTAAATTCAGAAAGTAGATCCACCTAACCTCATAGAAAATAACCTCACCTAACCAATAACCTCACCTAACTCCAGAAAATAACCTCACCTTAACTCATATAAAAACGTCACCTAACCCCAGAAAATAACCTCACCTAATAACCTCCCAGGTCGACCCCTCGAACAGGACCACTGGTCAGTACGAGGGTTTGCCTCCAGGATCCTAGCAGGACTGGTCCGGTCCCACAACCTGGGAACTAACCAGATCCAGAGTAGGGTTATTAAGATGCTGCATCACGCTCTGGATAAACAGAACTCTGGGCTCGTATCCACTTTCGGAGTGCTAGGTATTATGAGTTCGGGAGATTGTACATATCATATTACCTATCAGTATTCAGTATCAACTCGTATGATAAAATAGTTATTGAAATATGATAACTTTCTCACGGATCGTACAGACTTCAACAGTCACATGACGAGAGCTGAGTCCCTAGAAAATAATCTAACCTTATATATTTCAGCTGGTTTGTGTGAGCTGGGTTCGTTAACAATCAGCACGATAGTTCTTCCTGAGATACGGAACATTTACAGGTACACTATGACGTAATAGTAAGCAAAATTAGAAAAATATGTTTCTGATTAGAAAATGTCTCTACTGTATGTATATTAATATACACAGCGTTCAGGAGCCGAGTTGGGTAAAATAAGCTCATCTGAAAGTAGATGTAGCACACTGCGACGGATCCTTCATCTGTTTTGTTTTTCTAGACCACTTCTGGATCGGCTTAGTAAAGAAATTGTATCGGCAATAATCGCTTGGATTATATATTAATCAGGAATCATAACCAATAATAACAACCGATATAATAATAACTGAATACTGATATACCTGTCTCAGGAGAGTTGAACTAAAGTGTGCCACCTCCCAAGATCCTATAGACAGGCATGCTAAGGAGAGGATAAAGGAACTGTTAGTGCGGAAATGTGCCCACGTGGTTCAGGAACATCTCCCAGAGCTTCTCAGGTACAATTTGCTGGTTTATTCGTTTGAACATCTCCCAGAGCTCCTCAGGTACAATTTGTTGGTTTGTTCTTGAACATCTCCCAGAGCTCCTCAGGTTCAATTTGTTGGTTTGTTGGTTTGAACATCTCCCAGAGCTTCTCAGGTACAATTTGTTGGTTTGTTCGTTTGAACATCTCCCAGAGCTCCTCAGGTACAATTTGTTGGTTTGTTCGTTTGAACATCTCCCAGAGCTCCTAAGGTTCAATTTTTTGGTTTGTTTGTTTGAACATCTCCCAGAGCTCCTCAGGTACAATTTGTTGGTTTGTTCGTTTGAACATCTCCCAGAGCTCCTAAGGTTCAATTTTTTGGTTTGTTTGTTTGAACATCTCCCAGAGCTTCTCAGGTACAATTTGTTGGTTTATTCGTTTGAGCATCTCCCAGAGCTCCTCAGGTACAATTTGTTGGTCTGTTCGTTTGAACATCTCCCAGAGCTTCTCAGGTACAATTTGTTGGTTTATTCGTTTGAACATCTCCCAGAGCTTCTCAGGTACAATTTGTTGGTTTATTCGTTTGAACATCTCCCAGAGCTTCTCAGGTACAATTTGCTGGTTTGTTCGTTTGAACATCTCCCAGAGCTTCTCAGGTACAATTTGTTGGTTTATTCGTTTGAACATCTCCCAGAGCTTCTCAGGTACAATTTGTTGGTTTATTCGTTTGAACATCTCCCAGAGCTTCTCAGGTACAATTTGCTGGTTTGTTCGTTTGAACATCTCCCAGAGCTTCTCAGGTACAATTTGCTGGTTTATTCGTTTGAACATCTCCCAGAGCTCCTCAGGTACAATTTGTTGGTTTGTTCGTTTGAACATCTCCCAGAGCTCCTGAGGTACAATTTGTTGGTTTATTCGTTTGAACATCTCCCAGAGCTCCTCAGGTACAATTTGTTGGTCTGTTCGTTTGAACATCTCCCAGAGCTCCTCAGGTACAATTTGTTGGTTTGTTGGTTTGAACATCTCCCAGAGCTCCTCAGGTACAATTTGTTGGTTTGTTCGTTTGAACATCTACCAGAGCTTCTCAGGTACAATTTGTTGGTCTGTTCGTTTGAACATCTCCCAGAGCTCCTCAGGTACAATTTGTTGGTTTTTCGTTTGAACATCTCCCAGAGCTCCTCAGGTACAATTTGTTGGTCTGTTCGTTTGAAAATCTCCCAGAGCTCCTCAGGTACAATTTGTTGGTTTGAACATCTCCCAGAGCTCCTCAGGTACAATTTGTTGGTTTGTTTGTTTGAACATCTCCCAGAGCTCCTCAGGTACAATTTGTTGGTTTGTTCGTTTGAACATCTCCCAGAGCTTCTCAGGTACAATTTGTTGGTTTATTCGTTTGAACATCTCCCAGAGCTCCTCAGGTACAATTTGTTGGTCTGTTCGTTTGAACATCTCCCAGAGCTCCTCAGGTACAATTTGTTGGTTTGAACATCTCCCAGAGCTCCTCAGGTACAATTTGTTGGTTTGTTCGTTTGAACATCTCCCAGAGCTCCTCAGGTACAATTTGTTGGTTTGTTCGTTTGAACATCTCCCAGGGCTCCTCAGGTACAATTTGTTGGTTTGTTCGTTTGAACATCTCCCAGAGCTTCTCAGGTACAATTTGTTGGTTTGTTCGTTCGAACATCTCCCAGAGCTCCTCAGGTACAATTTGTTGGTTTGTTCGTTTGAACATCTACCAGAGCTCCTCAGATACAATTTTTTGGTTTATTCGTTTGAACATCTCCCAGAGCTTCTCAGGTACAATTTGTTGGTCTGTTCGTTTGAACATCTCCCAGAGCTCCTCAGGTACAATTTGTTGGTCTGTTCGTTTGAACATCTCCCAGAGCTCCTCAGGTACAATTTGTTGGTTTGTTCGTTTGAACATCTCCCAGAGCTCCTCAGGTACAATTTGTTGATTTGTTGGTTTGAACATCTCCCAGAGCTCCTTAGGTACAATTTGTTGGTCTGTTCGTTTGAACATCTCCCAGAGCTCCTCAGATACAATTTTTTGGTTTATTCGTTTGAACATCTCCCAGAGCTCCTCAGGTACAATTTGTTGATTTGTTGGTTTGAACATCTCCCAGAGCTCCTTAGGTACAATTTGTTGGTTTGTTCGTTTGAACATCTCCCAGAGCTTCTCAGGTACAATTTGTTGGTTTGTTGGTTTGAACATCTCCCAGAGCTTCTCAGGTACAATTTGTTGGTTTGTTCGTTTGAACATCTCCCAGAGCTCCTCAGGTACAATTTGTTGGTCTGTTTGTTTGTACATCTCCCAGAGCTCCTCAGGTACAATTTGTTGGTTTGTTTGTTTGAACATCTCCCAGAGCTCCTCAGGTACAATTTGTTGATTTGTTGGTTTGAACATCTACCAGAGCTTCTCAGGTACAATTTGTTGGTTTGTTCGTTTGAACATCTCCCAGAGCTCCTCAGGTACAATTTGTTGGTTTGTTCGTTTGAACATCTCCCAGAGCTCCTCAGGTACAATTTGTTGGTCTGTTTGTTTGTACATCTCCCAGAGCTCCTCAGGTACAATTTGTTGGTTTGTTTGTTTGAACATCTCCCAGAGCTCCTCAGGTACAATTTGTTGATTTGTTTGTTTGAACATCTACCAGAGCTTCTCAGGTACAATTTGTTGGTCTGTTCGTTTGAACATCTCCCATAGCTCCTCAGGTACAATTTGTTGGTTTGTTTGTTTGAACATCTCCCAGAGCTCCTCAGGTACAATTTGTTGGTTTGTTCGTTTGAACATCTCCCAGAGCTCCTCAGGTACAATTTGTTGGTCTGTTCGTTTGAACATCTCCCAGAGCTCCTCAGGTACAATTTGTTGGTTTATTCGTTTGAACATCTCCCAGAGCTTCTCAGGTACAATTTGTTGGTCTGTTCGTTTGAACATCTCCCAGAGCTCCTCAGGTACAATTTGTTGGTTTATTCGTTTGAACATCTCCCAGAGCTCCTCAGGTACAATTTGTTGGTTTATTCGTTTGAACATCTCCCAGAGCTTCTCAGGTACAATTTATTGGTTTATTCGTTTGAACATCTCCCAGAGCTCCTCAGGTACAATTTATTGGTTTATTCGTTTGAACATCTCCCAGAGCTTCTCAGGTACAATTTATTGGTTTATTCGTTTGAACATCTCCCAGAGCTCCTCAGGTACAATTTATTGGTTTATTCGTTTGAACATCTCCCAGAGCTCCTCAGGTACAATTTGTTGGTTTGTTTGTTTGAACATCTCCCAGAGCTCCTCAGGTACAATTTGTTGGTCTGTTGGTTTGAACATCTCCCAGAGCTTCTCAGGTACAATTTGTTGGTCTGTTGGTTTGAACATCTCCCAGAGCTCCTCAGGTACAATTTGTTGGTCTGTTCGTTTGAACATCTCCCAGAGCTCCTCAGGTACAATTTGTTGGTCTGTTCGTTTGAACATCTCCCAGAGCTTCTCAGGTACAATTTGTTGGTTTGTTCTTTTGAACATCTCCCAGAGCTCCTCAGGTACAATTTGTTGGTTTGTTCGTTTGAACATCTCCCAGAGCTCCTCAGGTACAATTTGTTGGTCTGTTCGTTTGAACATCTCCCAGAGCTTCTCAGGTACAATTTGTTGGTCTGTTCGTTTGAAAATCTCCCAGAGCTCCTCAGGTACAATTTGTTGGTCTGTTCGTTTGAACATCTCCCAGAGCTCCTCAGGTACAAATTGTTGGTTTGTTCGTTTGAACATCTCCCAGAGCTCCTCAGGTACAATTTGTTGGTCTGTTCGTTTGAACATCTCCCAGAGCTTCTCAGGTACAATTTGTTGGTCTGTTCGTTTGAAAATCTCCCAGAGCTCCTCAGGTACAATTTGTTGGTCTGTTCGTTTGAACATCTCCCAGAGCTCCTCAGGTACAATTTGTTGGTTTGTTCGTTTGAACATCTCCCAGAGCTCCTCAGGTACAATTTGTTGGTTTGTTCGTTTGAACATCTCCCAGAGCTCCTCAGGTACAATTTGTTGGTCTGTTCGTTTGAACATCTCCCAGAGCTTCTCAGGTACAATTTGTTGGTCTGTTCGTTTGAAAATCTCCCAGAGCTCCTCAGGTACAATTTGTTGGTCTGTTCGTTTGAACATCTCCCAGAGCTCCTCAGGTACAATTTGTTGGTTTGTTCGTTTGAACATCTCCCAGAGCTTCTCAGGTACAATTTGTTGGTCTGTTCGTTTGAAAATCTCCCAGAGCTCCTCAGGTACAATTTGTTGGTCTGTTCGTTTGAACATCTCCCAGAGCTCCTCAGGTACAATTTGTTGGTCTGTTCGTTTGAACATCTACCAGAGCTCCTCAGGTACAATTTGTTGGTTTGTTCGTTTGAACATCTCCCAGAGCTTCTCAGGTACAATTTGTTGGTTTGTTTGTTTGAACATCTCCCAGAGCTCCTCAGGTACAATTTGTTGGTCTGTTCGTTTGAACATCTCCCAGAGCTCCTCAGGTACAATTTGTTGGTTTGTTGGTTTGAACATCTCCCAGAGCTTCTCAGGTACAATTTGTTGGTTTGTTCGTTTGAACATCTCCCAGAGCTTCTCAGGTACAATTTGTTGGTTTGTTCGTTTGAACATCTCCCAGAGCTTCTCAGGTACAATTTGTTGGTCTGTTCGTTTGAGCATCTCCCAGAGCTCCTCAGGTACAATTTGTTGGTCTGTTCGTTTGAACATCTCCCAGAGCTTCTCAGGTACAATTTGTTGGTTTGTTCGTTTGAACATCTCCCAGAGCTTCTCAGGTACAATTTGTTGGTTTGTTCGTTTGAACATCTCCCAGAGCTTCTCAGGTACAATTTGTTGGTCTGTTCGTTTGAGCATCTCCCAGAGCTCCTCAGGTACAATTTGTTGGTCTGTTCGTTTGAACATCTCCCAGAGCTCCTCAGGTACAATTTGTTGGTTTATTCGTTTGAGCATCTCCCAGAGCTTCTCAGGTACAATTTGTTGGTCTGTTCGTTTGAACATCTCCCAGAGCTCCTCAGGTACAATTTGTTGGTCTGTTCGTTTGAACATCTCCCAGAGCTCCTCAGGTACAATTTGTTGGTCTGTTCGTTTGAACATCTCCCAGAGCTCCTCAGGTACAATTTGTTAGTTTGTTTGTTTGAACATCTCCCAGAGCTTCTCAGGTACAATTTGTTGGTCTGTTCGTTTGAACATCTCCCAGAGCTCCTCAGGTACAATTTGTTGGTTTATTCGTTTGAACATCTCCCAGAGCTCCTCAGGTACAATTTGTTGGTTTGTTCGTTTGAACATCTCCCAGAGCTCCTCAGGTACAATTTGTTGGTTTATTCTTTTGAACATCTCCCAGAGCTCCTCAGGTACAATTTGTTGGTCTGTTCGTTTGAACATCTCCCAGAGCTCCTCAGGTACAATTTGTTGGTTTGTTGGTTTGAACATCTCCCAGAGCTCCTCAGGTACAATTTGTTGGTTTGTTCGTTTGAACATCTCCCAGAGCTCCTCAGGTACAATTTGTTGGTTTGTTCGTTTGAACATCTCCCAGAGCTCCTCAGGTACAATTTGTTGGTCTGTTGGTTTGAACATCTCCCAGAGCTCCTCAGGTACAATTTGTTGGTCTGTTGGTTTGAACATCTCCCAGAGCTCCTCAGGTACAATTTGTTGGTTTGTTCGTTTGAACATCTCCCAGAGCTCCTCTGGTACAATTTGTTGGTTTGTTCGTTCGAACATCTCCCAGAGCTCCTCAGGTACAATTTGTTGGTCTGTTGGTTTGAACATCTCCCAGAGCTCCTCAGGTACAATTTGTTGGTTTGTTCGTTTGTACATCTCCCAGAGCTCCTCAGGTACAATTTGTTGGTTTATTCGTTTGAAAATCTCCCAGAGCTCCTCAGGTACAATTTGTTGGTTTGTTGGTTTGAACATCTCCCAGAGCTCCTCAGGTACAATTTGTTGGTTTGTTCGTTTGAACATCTCCCAGAGCTCCTCAGGTACAATTTGTTGGTTTGTTCGTTTGAACATCTCCCAGAGCTCCTCAGGTACAATTTGTTGGTTTGTTCGTTTGAACATCTCCCAGAGCTCCTCAGGTACAATTTGTTGGTCTGTTCGTTTGAACATCTCCCAGAGCTCCTCAGGTACAATTTGTTGGTTTGTTCGTTTGAACATCTCCCAGAGCTCCTCAGGTACAATTTGTTGGTCTGTTCGTTTGAACATCTCCCAGAGCTCAGGTACAATTTGTTGGTTTGTTGGTTTAAACATCTCCCAGAGCTTCTCAGGTACAATTTGTTTGTTTGTTGGTTTGAACATCTCCCAGAGCTCCTCAGGTACAATTTGTTGGTTTATTCGTTTGAACATCTCCCAGAGCTCCTCAGGTACAATTTGTTGGTTTGAACATCTCCCAGAGCTCCTCAGGTACAATTTGTTGGTCTGTTCGTTTGAACATCTCCCAGAGCTCCTCAGGTACAATTTGTTGGTCTGTTTGTTTAAACATCTCCCAGAGCTCCTCAGGTACAATTTGTTGGTTTGTTTGTTTGAACATCTCCCAGAGCTCCTCAGGTACAATTTGTTGGTTTGTTCGTTTGAACATCTCCCAGAGCTCCTCAGGTACAATTTGTTGGTCTGTTCGTTTGAACATCTCCCAGAGCTCCTCAGGTACAATTTGTTGGTTTATTCGTTTATGCTGGCACCTGTGCTCTGGTCACAGGTGTGCTTGTCTCAAGTTTGTTCGCGTTATTTAACAGGTAAATTGCTTACTAGCAATTAATCAGCATATTCACTTTTAACTTGGTCCTTTTTTGGTTTTTGCGTGAGCCCTCTTCACCGGTCTGTTCTTACTTATCAATACATTTCATCCCAGTGTTGACGACTACGAGCAGAAGTTTGGTGACATAGGACGTGAAATGTTTTACAAGGTCATGAGACCTACTTCTCACATGCCAATGATGAAATAATTAACAGGAATGTTACTCCTCCTTCCCTCTGGCCAGCCGTAAAGAGATTTTTTGATTCTGGGACTGAATATTCCCAACATTTTGATGAGCTATCCTTTTTAAATTATAACATTTTATTTCATCTCTGTTCTCTATATTTGATAAATTTATGAGCGAATGTTTTTCATAACGTTTGACGTATTGTATTATATATATTCACAGTTCATATTCACAGTTGATATTTGTGTTTCACTTACCCATCGTGGGTGGATCAATCCATGTTCTTTCTTAGTATCCTCTAAATTTGTACCGATACTCTATTCTTTATGTGTAATCAATAAGCATTTTTAAAACAATTTACCTTAGGAGATGTTAACTTGATTTGAACTAATTGGAAACAAAGATCAATATGGAAGGTAACAAATATACTCTCATTGGAGTAAACATATTTTCTTAACATCTTTACTTACTGTATGATTTCCAAAATGTGACTTATTTCCATCAACGTTTGGTTAAAATTAGCACAATATCTAATTATCATGCCAATTATTTTTCAGAGGAGGTGCGGTCAGAGAAAAGACGACACAAAACAAGCGAGTCAGATACCCCACCAGAATATAAGAAGCACGTAAATACCAACCCATCCCATCCATCAACCAACATCTCAGTTTCACATTTAGGGGACGAATGCGCGCCACCAACAGAAATAGCTGACAATGAGAACTCTGCAAACCGGCGGGCCCTTGAATCAGACGACCAGCTGCCGCACACTGGACCGGAGGACCCTAACCGACCCTCCCGCGGCTACGAATACTGTGATCACACCGCAGATATCCAGGTGCATTCCTGGGGAGTAAACCTCAAGGAGGCATTCGAGGAATGCTGCGTGGGAATGTTTGGGTATATTACAGATCTCACAACTGTTGAACCTAAAGATACCTTCACTTTGGAGGCTGAGGGGCATGACATGGACACCTTACTGTTCCATTTCTTAGATGAGTGGTTGTACGCGTTCAGTGCTGAACCTTACTTCACCCCTAACGAGATCAATATCCTTGAGTTTGACGAGGCGAATTTTAAAATAAAGTGTGAGGGGTACGGTGAGCCGTTTGATCTTCAGAAGCACCCCCAGGGGACGGAAGTGAAAGCTATAACTTATAGTGCTATGCAGATTAAACAACATGATAAGGGTTGCGAAGTGTACGTTATTGTGGATATTTAACATATTTAACATATTTAAGATATTTTTTAAGGTGGTGTTTTGTTAGCTCGGGACTTGGGTTAGCGACAGTTTTATGTTGTAGGTTTATAACCTACCAGGACGCGCGCCGAGTTGGACTCGTTGGAACAAATATTTTACGAGTATCACCCGTTAAGTTTTATGTAGCAGGCAGATTCAGAAGCACTGAAGCAGGTTATATTACCAGTCCACAAAATAAAATTACTTAATATCGTACATAAATTATACAGAAGTTCATTGCACTTTTTTATGTTACTGTATCTTGATTATTATTATTTGATAAATAATTACTATTTGTGGCGACTCGTTTCTTTCTTAGATGATTTTTATTATTTTACGCAGATTTTAGTGGACTTCACATGAATTGGTTGAATCAATTTTTAGAATTGTGTTGAAGTTTATTTCTGTAATTGTTTGTGATATATGCTAGTTTTACTTACATTTCTACAATCATCTGGTGTGGAAATCTTCTTCTTTCCTTTTTATGAATTATTGTCAATAAATAAGGTGATATGACAAAATCCAGTCAGATATTATTATAAACAACATTCTTTAATGGTAAATTTTTAATTATCTTAATTTTTTGATCTTTGTAGGGGTATAGGTAGTGCTATGAGATGGTATCGAAGGCGATGTTTATTGACGGTATCAGGACGCCGTTCCAACTCCCCCACACCGGTTACGCCAACATGACAGGCGCCGCCCTCCTCTCAGCCGCCATACGCCGCCTTCTCTCCCGAGTTAAAATAGACAAACTCGAAATCAACCACATGGTAGTTGGCAATGTTTTCCACGAAATAAAGAGCCCTAACATTGGGGCAGTATCCGCTGTGGCGTCAGGTATTAATGTGCCTTCTCATTCTCTATCCATGGCGTGCATTAGTGGGCAGGCTGCTCTGGCGAAGGGTATCGAGATGATAAACTCAGATTACGCTGAGGTAGTGTTAGTTGGCGGTGTTGAGTACCTCTCTGATTTACCTGTGTTAGTCAACGAAAAGGTACGGAAGACTTTCATAAAATGTAAGAACCCAGACTTGACCCGAAGACAGAAACTAGCTCTCCTCTCCAAAATCAGACCCCGTGACGCGGCCCCAGACTTCCTCAAAGTGGTCGAGTTCCAAACAAAAGAAACTTTCGTGCACAACGGCGACAAGATAGCTGCCCGGTTCGGTATCAGCAGGTGGGACCAGGACGAGTACGGCTACAGATCTCACCGCCTCTCTAAGAAAGCTGCAGTAGAGGAGAAGTTCCCCTTTATTTGTGCCGTACAACATTCTAAAACTAACGAAACTGTCAGTACAGACGGTACGCTGAGACGTTGGACTCGAGAGAAAATGAGCAAGAGACGGCCCGTACTGCGCGGCGGCTCTGTTACCATCGCTACTGCTAATCAACCCTGTGATGGGGCTGCTGTCTGCCTCCTCGCTTCAGAGCGCGCGGCTCAGCGCCTTAATATGTCCCCACGTGCGGAACTTTCTCCTGTGTTGTTCGCAGCTTGCTCCCCAAAAACAGACTTACTCATGGGTACCACTCACTCTCTTGCCAGACTCAAGTTAGAAAAAGGAGTAGACCTCGAGAAAGCTGATGTTTTAGAATTCTATGAAGGGTTCGGAGGTGAAGTTTTATCCCAACTCTCAGCTCTTTCAAGCACTAAGTACGCTCAAGACGTGTTCAGTCAGGACACATGTATAGCAGATCTTGATATTGATAAACTGAACCTGTGGGGTGGTACGATAGGACTAGGTCACCCGTTCGGAGCTACTGGTATCAGGTTGTTGTTGCACACTGTGGGGAGGCTGGAGGAAGAGGATGGGGAATTGGGGGTGGTGGCAGGGTGTGCTGGGGGCGGTCAGGGAGCCGCATTTACTGTTACCAGGATCAGACTGGGTGGATAAGAGTCTCTCTTGCTCGACAGTTGTGGAGCAAGAGGCCCTGATGTGGCCCTTTTATGTGAGCAGTGTGCCACAGGAGAACCATGATGATAACTGATTGATCGTCACCAAACGTTACCACGTGATTGGGTTATTTGTACATAAAATGATTTTGAAGTATTCGTAAACTGAATGTAAATATGAGTGTTGACTTTGTTATGAAGTGGATTCTGATGCAGTTCTTTTACCTTTACCTTTGCTTTGTCCTTTATACATGAGTAATTTGTGGGGTAGCTTGTTGTTTTGATTTTGATACTTTATGAGTAACTTATCCTTTATTATTACATTATGTAGGATCAGTAGTAGTATCGCTTATTCTGTGTCATATTTTTCTAGAGTTTAGACTACTAGACTATAGGAAAATTGCATTATTACCAAAGCGAATGATTAAACAGAGATTTAAACGGAGGTTTGTGTCAATAAATGACGGCTGTTCAAATTTGGTTGATTGGTTGAATAAGGATTTACAGGCTTTCCATACTAAATAACCCATTTATCTAACGAAAAGATTATGATATGGTAATGGTCCCAGTTTTATTACAATGTAATGTGAGATGTTAACTATTTCTGTTCAAAGAAAGTCATGATTAAGACCATGGCTAAGATATGGTATGTTTTTGAGGCTTAATGGCCAATGGTACCGTGGTGCCACTTTGCATTCTGGTCGCGAATTATAGGAGTTTGTTATTCGTGGCCTCTCTTAAACAATTTTTAATGTGTTAACTTGAGGAATTAAACTTTAAGGTTTTTATTTTCATCTCAAAACTTGTATCTCTGCTTTTATTCTACTTACAGTAGCAAATTAAACGAATTTGGATAATGGTTCAGTACAAAATTCTATGTAGGTTGTCTTTTAAAGTCAATCTAAAAGTATCCTCTGTGGCAAATACCTAAATTTGTTTTTTTGAAAGATGAGAAGAAAGTTTCTTCTAATCAAACCGAAATCATGTTTCATTATTCACACCGAAAATATCCCAGAATGATAGGACTTGAGACCCTGTATGATCGACTTCTTCTCGAACAATCTCCCCCTACCCTGCAATCAGACTTCCACGAGCTCTTCCTATCTGTGAAGAATTCTCCTTCTCACATCTCGTCTTTCAACTCTAAAATATTCTACTCGGCCCTGCTGTCGGATGAAACCTATCCTGTAGCTTTGTCGAAACTTCTGGCGAATGTTTGGCGCCAGTGTCATGGATTCACCGCTACATTGCCGATAAAACTGTCAGACTATTTGACTGCTGTCGGAGATTTTCAGCTGGAGAAATATTTCGTCGCCGAGCTTCGATCACTACCAGATGTTCTGTTTGAGGAAGTGTCCAACAGGATACTTCAGATAGTCATTAATAACAAAGCTTTCGTAAAACTAGTACCTCACATCTTAGAAGTTGACACTTTAAAGTGTAAGACAGGTATTGGTTCTGGTAATATTTCAATTAAATGTCTGGAACATGCCACCCAGCGGTTAGATTCACTAGACGAACCATCTGTAACTAAACTAGTCCAACATGTCTCCGAGATATCCTACATGGTTTGCTACACGGGCACAGGGACTGTTATCAGGACAACTTCGGAGACTTGCGACATCATCGACAAAGTTTCATCTCACGACACCGACATTTCCTCTGTTTTTGATCAGATTCACCCCTCGGACTCTGTCTTCGCGGAACTTCATACCGGATCAAAATCAACCTGCTGTCACTTCGAAGTGCTTACCAACCTTAACACCCACTTCACTCACCTTGCTCCGGTATATGACGCTGGTAGACTGTTCCTGGACAGTCTCTCCGTACACTGTGTCTGTGATGATGAACCAAATAAACTGATACACCTGTATTCTCTGAGCAAGTACCTGCTGTCCGACCAACTGTCACGTGCTCTCTACACACCGGAACATGTAGAGTATTTGGAGAACCTGGTGGAGAGTGTTCCTGAAGAGAGCTTGGAGATTATAGTGTCTTCTCCCATCTACAAAGCTCTCAATTTTGACCCGATTACTGCGGAATGGAGAGAGTTAGTCACCCAAGTCCGGAATGGGTTGTCAAAATCAAACGAGAGTTTTGATGTTATGATGAACACCACTGATTTAGAGTTCAATATGATAGAAGATTGTATCAGTCTAGTGAATGTTTTGAATACTTCTCAACTTGCTTTAATGTTCTCGAGGACTCTTGGGGCTAACAATTCCATTATCCCCTTGCAACAGAAAATACTTATCGTACGGAACATTATTGACACTATAAAGAAGTCTTCTGTGAAGAACCTCTCAAGTTTTAGTAAATCTCTGTACAACGATTGTGGGTTTTCTTTCTCTCAACTCGACCAGTTTTCTCCTGAAACCAAAGATGTTATACTCGGAGATAATGGAAATATGACTAAAACGATCAACCAGCTGGGCAGCAAAGGGGCTGGAAAGTGGAAAGAAAAACTTTACCACTCACTCCTAACTTATTTCACTTTAATGCCAGACGAACTATTAAGAAGTTTGATCGGTCAGGCTACTCGCAACAAAGCTTTGTCTTCCTCGGTGGCTGTATTTCTGAAAGATTCGTTACCTTTTACTCTAAATCCATTGATACCTACTTCAGAAGTCGTGTTCCTTTCCCTTAAAACAGAGTTTCAACTCCTCAAGACGCTGAAGGAGGTTAAACAGTTTGATGGGTTCATTGAGACCCTCAAACCGCTCGTTTCCCATCAAACAATCCTTAAATTGCTTCTTCTACCGCTCATAAAATCTTGCCAGGACAACCAATTCACCACTCTAACCTGGCTGCAGCTATACCTCCAACGGGAACCATTCTACAACTTCTCTCTTTTCTATGAGCTGGTTAGAATCTGGGCTACCCCAGATCTAGACGGGAACTGTTCAGAGCTGCTTGACGATGGAGACATCCTGGACGATCTCAGCGCTCAGATCATGGATTACCCTAAAGAAGCGTACTTGATGCTGAAGATGGTGACTCAAGGGTGGGGTTGGAAGGCGGGTTTGAGGTTCGCATCAATAATGGAAGAGCCCGAAAATCAAGCTCCCAAAGATGGTTGGAGATTTGGATTTGAGTGTTCATGTTTTGATGGACTGTTTAGGTTTTGTAGAGGGTGACTTCAGGGACGAGAGAGGTGAACCGTCAGCTTCTATTGCTCTGTGTCTCCTACAGCTTGCCAAATATTCCAGTTCATCTCTTAAGTTTAAACTCTCTAATCTAAACCAATCTTCTATTACTGATTCTGTTTTCACACAGTTCAGCAAAATCTCTACGCGATCACTTAAAGAATGGGAAAATGTTTATAGATTCTTGGACGAATGCTTCAGCGAAGAAACTCTAAATCTTACCCATTTTCTCGTGAACAGAGGAGAGATATCTGATCTAACAGCGGCTATCAAAAAATCTGCAGATGTATGTAATGGAATTGAACTAAATTATCTTCCTTACTTCACTAATGACGTGCTCACTTTCATTGTTTTATCGGCTGTGTCTGGAAACACCACAGCGCTTCGCTGGTTTGGCAAGGTCTGTGAAACATTTAACAACTCCAATCCTGGGCCTGAAACTGATCCTGATGAGAACTTTGTAGTACAGACTATTCACGTCAGTGTTTCCCAAGATGAACCTACAGATAACATCAAAAAAGCTGAAAGAGAAAACATCGACCAGATCCTTTATCTTCGTGTGCGTTTTGTTGAAGGTGCTTCAATCACAGTCGCTTGAGACCCTCCTCCTAAGCATGGCTCCGCACGTCAACATTACTTCGGGTGATGCGAAGAAAGCTTTGGCTTTACTACCAGCGTCTCTACAGAGCACTTTATCCATTAAGAGAGTCCCCGTAGTGTAGTGCGACACACATCCCAGTGTCTTAAGATTTAAGATGGTTTCCTCTAATGAATAGATATTTGACATATTCTTTTGGTTTTAATTTTCAACGATGTATTGATATTCATTTTAAGGATAAAAACTCTTGACTTTTATTTCATTTTATTTAAATTTTTGTTTAATAATATTCAATTTAATAAAATTATGATAAATTGCTCGTTTTACTTATCACTATCAAATCTACTCAATCTAGTTTCTCATTCAAGTCGGTAGAAAAGTAGAAATTAAACTCTGGTATACAATATACATTTTCATAAAAGTCAAACTTGGTATATATTATCATCAGTGCTGCTTGATCACGAAATATTGATAAAATGTCGCATTTAAGAGACTGTAAAATAAAATGAGCACTTTGAAATGAAAATAAAGAATATAAATATATCCATTATGAATTAAGAGGCGTGAGATTAAAAAAATTCAAACTCTACTCTCCCTTAATTATTGGTTACCTCTCAATAAATCTGGATTTTGGTGGGGATTGAAAGATATTTTTCCTGAGACGTGACTGGTACTGGTAGTGGTAGCAGCGATTAATCATTAATAAATCGAATAAGCTTCCATAAATATAAAGATATTTTTCCTGATACGTGACTGGCATTAATAAATCGAATCAGCTTCCTTCATTGACCAATTTAATCCCAGAAGCACTGTCAAGTGTCAAAACAAATATGTCTCACCTCCAACCTCCCATCCTAATCCAGATCATATTAAAAAAATAATATTTGTGTACGATAACATTTACTGGGCCGCGCTCAGCCTGTCATTCCGCCGATGATTATGAACATAAATATAAATATAATACTAATATACATATAATAGCCTGAGGTCCCCAGGTGAGATAACATTAGAAAATAATTGCGATATTATGACGAAAAAACGTTCCAAAGGGCGAAGTCTATCGGTGTCTTGAAAAAGAAGTAGGAAATGAACTCCATTTATAAAATATAATCGCGAAAAATAACATTTTGAACACCGACAAGTCCGACATGGTCCATAAAACATGGCCAATGGGCAAATTCATTGTTTATACTCCAGTTTATCGTTCAAAAAGTAAGGAATTCATATTCCTTTTATTCCTATCCTAAAATCAGTCTACAGTTGGAAGAGTTTGATATTCTGTCGTTCTAGCCAACTATCGATATCTGAAAGAAGTAGAGCTCTGTAAATGAAATACCAAAGTAATGTCATGTAGAATTTGTGAGTAAATTCTTCTTTCCGATCTATTTGCAGAGGAAATTAAGCTTAATATAAAGTTGACCACTTCTTAACAAGATATGATATTATGAGTTAAGAGTCACAACAGTTGTTCTAACACTAACAGCAACAGGAGAAAATAGGTTTGAAAAACTTAATAATCTATTGCATACATTTTCTTAAGCTGTGACTATCGAATATTACGTGAGCAGGAGCAATGACGGATCTTCTGGTGGTTTTGTTGGTTCAGTATTCATGCGCTGCACAGAAATCTGATGGAAAATGTCATAAGTAAATTTTAGTGCAAAATGATGTATCGTTATTTAAAGAATGCCCGTTGATTTATCGAAGATGTCAGATGTTTGCTTCATCTGCCCCAATCCATAATTACGAAACCATGGTCAAGATTAAGAATCACTTATTTAAAATTTTGTTACCTGGAAGTCAAGATAGAGACAGGATTAATTAAAAGGTTCTCCTTTTTTCCCGTCAGAGCTTTTGTAGTTCATGATTACCATTTACAATTTTCTATTTATTAATTGTATCTTGCATTTTTCTTAAGCATGATACAATTAACATTGTAAATTATTTTAATAACGATTTTAGGCGATAAAAAAACATAATTGTGAGTAATCTAGATAATAATTAAATGTTAAAGCAACATCGTGAACAAAAAACATTCCCATGAGTTTTGCTGCACGATATCACACCTTAATTAATGAACTTAATAACTAATAAACTATTTAAATAATAACTTTGT